AACATTATCTAAAAATACATAATACAAAAATTTATTTTTGCATTTATTGTAAATATTCCCATGATGTCACTTTTACCAAGGGCTAATAAGTTTAGTTCTATAAAAAAAAGACTAAAATGAAGTCAGACTTAATGCCAGGTCGTTCTTTAAGTGATTAAACTAATTGTGAAGTTTTAGTCTTTTGATAATTGGAGCAAGTTTGTGGAAGAGGAGCTTAAACTATTAAAGAGGAAAAAAGTCCTTGGATACCCACATAAACCAGCCAGTAATTCTGGTTACTAGGAAAAAAATCACAGGAAATCTACTTCAGACTAAAAAATTCACTCATTTATTAGTTCAGTATTCCACACATAGGTATTTGTACGTTTTATGGAAATGGTAAGAAATTTCAATAAACAAATGGCTACAGTATTGTAGTAAACTTCCCTTATGGATTGCCTCCACGCCATGTGCTCTAGTTCATCTAAAACCCATGAGGAAGATGTAGCCCTCTCTGTTTTGCGTATGAGGAACCTGAGCTTGGCTGTGTTAAATGGCTCCCCCAAGGACACATTCACAAAAGAGTCCATTTAATCCCACAGCCTGTCCAGAAACTCTTCCCGAAGACCACCGTGAAGTTGGGCACTGCAGGCCTCCAAGAGAGTTTCAGAGAACTTGAGTTGGTTTTCCTCAATCCTGAATTTGCTGGCAGAATTCCAAGCTGGAGCATGCTCCAATCTATGAGCATGGAAATGATCAATTTTTTGCATCCTTCTCTGTCTTAGTTGTGCACCAGCACTGCATTAGGAACCATGGGCTTCTCCTAGAGTTTACTGCAGGACTCTCTATTATCAACATGTATTTTTTTGTCCTTAGGAAAAAAAAATTAGCAGTGCCATCCGACTTGACCCACTTCGACCAAAGAGCAGTGACAGCAGTTTTTGTAAGCACCTATTTTATAGACCCTGTTAACATCGACCAGTTGTTGCTTTTGAGCACAATATGAGTTTGAGAGTAGGTGATTTTGGTAGCAAAGACAAAGGTTGCTTGTTTGGCAGTCACTTGTCATTCTCTCTCCGGTATGCATTCATCCATTTGTCACAACATTTTAGGGGGAGTTGTACAGGAAAGCTTAAGAAAAATGCTTTACTCTTGTCTTGATGATAGAAAGCATTTCTCACTGCTGGTAGCAAAGTGGTAACTTTTCATTCCTTCTGGCAATTTTTAAAGACTTATTTGACTTTGGGGGAACCTGCAGTATATCTTTACGTCACAGTTCAAAAGTATAAGACAGGTTGCTCATTTTCAATTTTGGCTGAAAAGTCTTAACTTTGACTGTGGCACTTGAAAGTTAGAGAAAACTTGATTTTAAAAATGGATGCTGATTCAAGATGGCATATTTAATGACAGATGTATCTATGCAAAGCTGTTAAGATGCAGATTATCCCCCCTGGGGTGGGGGAGGGAGATCAAAACTGCCAATCTATAAAATATACTCAATAGAGGAAGGCATGGAATCTATCTTTGCAAGTGCTTTGATTGCAGGGGACAGTATAGCAGCATGTGGCATCATAACCCAGAGCAGACAAATCAGCTTGATGACTTTTAAAGCCAGGAATACTGCTGCAGGCAAGGGTACTCCAGTCTGGTAGAAATTAAAACATATAGAGACTATTATTAATTCCATATCTATTTTTGTATAGTCAAATCTGTATGCAAATCCTTAGAATCTCATTTCAGCAGATTAATCTAAAAGTGAAGAGTGTTATGTGAAGGGCTTGTGATGATAAAGCACTGTAAATGAGTAACACTGCTAGAGAAGTGTGGGCTGCAAACTTGGATTTCTTTTGTAAATTTATTTAAAAAATAAATTAAAGGAGTGGATTTTATTTAAATGACCATTTGTAAATTATTTCAAAGGGGAAAGCAATAGAACCAATTTCTAAGGTTTTCCTATGCAAAAGTTACCGCACTAGGTTTGTTAGGCACCTCCTGTGGTTTAACATTCTAGGGGTAATCAACCAAATAACTAACTGGGACTTTTATTTTTATTCCCAACTAGTAATCTGATATCTCATTTTAAACATTGTCTGTGTGTGACAATTTGTTTGTTGTTATAAGGAATCTAATTACAGAGCGCAGATTAAAAAAACATTGTACTATAGATGCATCTGTGGAAGACAGTAAATAATAATTCTGAAGAGCATGGAGATAAATTGTGTTTTTCTCTCTCTCCTCTTGGAAGAGGGGATGTAATAACTACATTCTCATCCTTGGTTGTACATTTAATCTATAATGGGCAGAATCTGATACATACAGTAGTGTAAATATTTTCAAATAGTGTCATAAAACAGATGGTTTACTGCAGTAGATATTAATTTGGTCTCATATTTCTAAAACAAGTAGAAAAACTTTCAGAGTTTTAAAATAATGGGTGGGAGTTTATGCTCTGTTTCCTTTCAAGTGGAGAAATGATTTTAGGTGAGCTGGACATTAATCTGGTGTTTATGGCCCAGATCAAAAGCACTGGCAATCATTTTAACCTTGAAGACTTGTGAGGTCTCAATGGATTTGATTATTCTCGTGTAGTTATGCTGAGAAAGAATTATTGAACATTCCGTTTTCTAATCACACTAGAAAGGGAAGATTGGGAGTAAAAGCAAACATACCTCTTTATTTATTTTGATATACATCTTGACTCTATGTAGAATTTTAAGCCTCAGCTTTCTTAAGTATGTTTCTTTCTTTAAAATTTTATTTTAGAGATGAGACATTCAATGAGTAATCCAGAGAAGACTTTCTTTGAGGGCAGGAAGCTCATTTCTCTTTGTTCTTTTTCCTCTACAGACAGAGCTTTTGTTGCTCTTAAAAATGTTTGTAATCTTCAGAAAGAAAAAAATAGCCCTCCAGTTAATAATAGCCAAGGTCAATTACATGAAAGATATAATCTCCTTACTGAGGTTGAGTGGGAAAGCAGTGATGGGCCTGGACAGGTTCCCTCCCCTTTATGTATCCATTAGTATTGATTGATTATTCCAGCTCAGTTGAGGATTAGGCACTAATCCTCTAGATTCTAGTTGACTTGACTCCTGGCCATGGAGTTGATGGTGGTGACCTATTCAAAGTACTTGAACCATCACAGCAAGAATTCCACTGGACAAAGTTAAACAGATGAGAAAGACTTTATTCAAGACTATTGCAATAGGGGAGAGAGATCAGAATGCAGGTTGAAATCAACTCCATCAAAACAAGAGGTTTTTAAGAGGATGTGTTTTAAGCACTAGATGAGTTCATGGAAAAGTACTGAAGGACTTTTGCAGAAAGGTTGATCACTGGGTGTTAAGCACATTCATTTATTCCTGAGTTTGCAAATTTTTTCTCTGTGATTAGGCCATCTGTGTTTGCTAATTGGTGTCTATCAAAGTTAGGCTCCTGTACTCCCATAGAAACTGGGAGATAGGGCACAGTCTTCCTTAATGGTTACATTTCAAGGAGATGGCTCCCAGGTCATTAAGGAAAATACTCTTGGATTGTAAAAGTGGAAAACAGCTTTTAAAATGATTTACTTCTCAAAGAGGCAGAGAAAGAATTTACAATTGTAAGTTTTCTAAAGTAAATGCTCTAAGAAAGCCTAGAGTTAGGAAGCAGCCTGTCTAGTTTAGTCAAGCTGGGCAAATGTAATGTTTTGGTCAGTATTGTAATAGTACACATTTTTTAAATTCAAAAAATTCCAATAGGAAACTTTTTTTGTCTGGCTCAGTTTTAGATCTTTATTGCAAACTTAGCTGGTTCTTTGTGATACTTACTAAAATAAGAATGTCATTCATTTTACACCAGTTTTTAGAACTTTGTATAAGGCAATATTTATAAAGAGATTTTTTTGGGGGCCCCACATTCCTCTTATTTTATTACCTAACACTCAGTATCTACTGGTGTTATTTCCTACTGTGGTGTTTGATGTGTTGTTTTTTTTTTTAAGAGTTTTTCCATTTGATGGTAAAAATTCAAGTAAAATTAATAATTTCTGGGCAATACAAGGCTCACTGTACACTACAAGCATGAAAAGAAGTATGAGGACAAATAGGAGAAACTCAGCTGGAAGTGTGACGATTATTTAGTGATTCTTGATTAAGCAGGTGTCAAGTCTCTTGGATGTAAGTAATTATCATGAGGGCTTCAAAAAGTTGACTGCAACATCAGCTGCACTGGAGAACTCTGTCCAGTAAGTTCAACATTAGCCACATGTAGTTCACTGAGCACTTGAAATGTGGCTAATCTGCATTGAGATGTGCTGTGTCAAATACACACTAGACTTTGAAGACTTAGTATAAAAAAAGAATATGAAATATCTCAATAATTTTTTACATTGATTTTATATTGAAATGATAATATTTTGGCTATATCAAGGTAAATAAAATTTATTACTATTAAATTTAATTTCACTGTTTTTATTTTTTTAATGAGTTACTGGAAAATTTTTAATTGCATATGTGACTTGCATTTGTGGTTCTTCTTATATTCTATTAGACAGCACTGGCTCTAGATCTCTTCTAATAAGTAATACCCTTTGTTAGATATGGTTCTTCCAAAGAGATGTCAAGATAGCACTGGTAGTGTACAGAGGTAGAGCATTAAAGTTGCCAATTTAGCTAAGGACAAGTATTTTCCATGTAACTATGTCCCTGGCATAAATTGTATAAAGATTTATCTATGTGTACTATGTTCACCCCACTCCCTTGCTGTACTTTACCTCTAATTCTGGCCATGCAGAGCTGCTCGCTTGCCATAATTGGTAATGTCAGCATACTTGTTGCTTGCTCTCATCTGGATTGCCTCAGAAATGTTTTTTGAAAATGAAACTGCTTCAACAATAAGCTTCTTAATTATGTCATGGGTTCACCATGAGGGTATACAAACATCCTCAGCAGTAGCTAATTTTCCTTTAATTGTATCTCGTTCTTATGTTGGAATATTCTATTTCTTATTCATGAAAAACTCTAACACATGTTAATCCATTACAGGTGGAGTAACTAACACGGCACAATATCAGAACAGACTAATGGTATATGAACCTAACCAGGTAAGAATCATATAAGAAAAGCTCATTACCATAATTAAAATGAATTTTAAAAGATTTCCATGGTAATTAGTAATGGGAAGTCTAAGGAATGCTAAGTCTGTACACACGCACATGCATCTTAAGCTTATAAAGAGAAAAGAAAGCATCTGGATAAACTGCATTCTGGTTCCTTTTTTTGTTGTTGTTACAGAATTTCAGCTCCTCAAGCTTTATGCGATACACAATGCTTCATTCTTTCAGAGTTTTGTGTAATGTAAAAAGGATTTTGATTGTCCTGCTGCTATGTCTTTCTGGAATGGGTAGCATTCTAGGAGGGGAATATGCTTATGACTTCAAATAAATTAATATTACTTAACTTAATATAACCAAAATGTCCTAGCACAGCATCTAGGGCAAGTCTGAAGTAGAAGTATCTGAAGACTTTGAGTATGTTTTTCATCTATCAGCTGGAGTGGGGCCTGAATTAGAAGCATTTTGATGATGCCTGTCCCTTCTTCTGTTTACTTCTCATGCACACTTAATGACTTTTTCTCCCAGAACTATTTTTATTCTTTTTCCCCTACCAAAATATCTATGTATGACTTTGGCAAATGTCTGCTGAATTTTGCCATTTCTATGATTTTGGTAGTGTAAATATTTTTCTTGATCATGACAATATTCCAAAATGATTTAATATAGGGGTTTAATATTCATCAGCTGAAGATAATGGGATATGAAACAACAGGTTGGCTTTTGCAATCTGAGTGAAGATTGGCCACCAAATGTATGTGTATAGTGACCTCAGCGTACCTGGTATTTTTTTTTATTTTGACAATTTATTTGGTTCTGAATTTAATGAAGGCATTTCTCTCTTTGCGAGTGTGTTTCCTGATGTCATTAGAAGCTGTAGATTTCAGAGACCTAATGTCCATGGGTCAGCTGCCTCAAGAGGGATCATTAATTGCAGTTGCTTGAGTTTGGTGCACATGTGGTTAAAGACGAAGAAGGTGTTAATATTTTTCAAATGAGTTCTGTTTCATGTTTGTACACACATGCTCTTTTTAAAAATTCTGCTGGCATATTGTTTACGGTGGGTACTGGCAAACATCACATCTGCTTGCATCTTGCTCAGAATCTCAATAACTCTATCATTCAGCCCTGGTGCTTATTTCTCATCTAGGCCTTTGTGGAGAGTCGATAATGCCTGCCATCTGCCACAGAGCACATCGCTACCTGCCAACAGGCAGGCTGGGTGACCTCTGCTTCCCCACCACTGATTAGTATTCACACGCTAGCTTATTAAGAATGACCCCACCAGGCCTCTCTGTTTCTTTGCCTTTGCAGCGGTTGGCGGCTCACCTGGCAGGCACTGCAGTAAAGGAAGCTAAAGATATAATCAGGGGATGCAGGCAGTCTTTGCAAACCAGATGGCATCCATAGTCTTGTGGCAGGGGACCGGACTGCTAATGCAAACATTGGTTCCTAATACTGTGATGGGTTGTCTCTTAGAAAGCACCTAAGAAAAGCATCATCAGAGTTTTGAGTTAAATTCACTCATGTGTAATATATTAAAGCTATTTCTTAGCAAAATATCTGAAAGGCTTCACTGTTTTATTAAAGAAGATGTTTGATTGGAAGGAGATTCTTATTATGACATGTTCAAACAGGGGGAGCAGATAAATGCAAGCCTTTTGATCTGTACAAACCACTTTTTTTTTTTTTTTTTTTTTCCTTTTTG